ACTTGTGATACCTTCTTCCAGGCTTATTTCTTCACCAAAATGTACAAGTTTTGGCATAAAGAATATCCGACATGTTTCAAAACAAGAACAACCAGACTCAAACGAATCCAAAATATTGAAGGGAGATAAAACAGATTCATCAGTAAGTGAAGAGATAGAAGAGAAAGATGAAAACAAAGAATTAACACATATGAAAATGGAAGAATTGCTTTTAGAGACTCTGACAGAGAATAGGGAAACAGTAAAATGTGTTCCAATCGTTCCAGGTAAAGGTCCACCACCTGATCCACCACTGGATTGCTGTATGAGTGGCTGTGCTAATTGTGTATGGATCAAATATGCAGAAGAAATGAGGGACTATTACTGCGAAGAGGGACTTGAAAAAGCCTGGAAAGATATTGAAAAAATTGAAGATGCAAACCTAAAAGCCTACCTCAAACTTGAATTGAGTTTCATGACCAAATGAACTAATTCACTCAAGGCAGTTGGCTCAGAATAAGAAAGGCTTAGACAAAAGTATATGTTTGATGCCATATCTTTTTACATATATACTGGTCCTCCTTTATCTGTAGTTATACTCACCTACTCAATTTCATTTAGCCATTGTCAACTCCAGAAATAAACAATTCACAAGTTTTATTTAATTAATGGCCTCAAAATACAAGAGCAGCAGCAAGCAATTTGGATAAATGAAGTTATAAATAGCTTTCTTTAAGTGAAATGGTGGAAATTCACAACTTAATAGGGAAAGAATAAATGTATGCTGAAGTTACTGAGATCTACAGTAAGAAAAAAATCATTTGTCGCACAACTTTTATTTCAATATACAGTTTTAATTGTTCTATTTTATTATTAGTTATTGTTGTTAATCTCTTATTCTCCTTAATAAGATCACTGGTAAGAATATTTATTGTGTTACATAACTTTTATTACAGTATGCATATTATGTATTTATTTATTTACAAACCACAAATGCAATGATTTGAATCAATTTCTTCTCCAAAACTAATATTCTCCTATTGACAGTACTGAATTCTACATATACTAATTTCTTTTCCTATCTATACATACCTATGTCAATGCTTAATTTATAAATTAGACACTATAATTGTTTTATTTTATTATTATTATTGTTAATCTTGTGCCTAATTTATAAATTAGGCATCGTCATATGTATGCATATGAAAAGAAATTAGTATATATACAATTCAGTACTGTCTGAGATACTTTTGGAACATATCCTTTGTAGATAAGGAAGGTCTACTGTATCTATGATATATATCCATCCAAGTGTAAGATAGGTTAATCACCAATAGTGCTGAAACATGATTGCATTTATGTAGCAGGTTATAACATGTTTTGTTATAATTGTTAATATATATATAATGTGCACAATTTAAAAATTGCAAATAAAATTTCTTTTAATAAAATGAGCTTTATTTCAAATGTGTATTGAAATAGAATTATTTACCTATGTTAATCTGGCACAAGACCATAAAAATGAGACATCCAGCAAGAATGAAATTCACTTAGCAATAGCTTACAAAATTAATGTCTCTCCTAAGAAGATGAAATAGAATAAACTGGAATTTTACTTTTTTACTAATTTTTCTTTCATTTTATTTCTTTTTATCATAACTCATTTATTTATTTAACGGCATTGACTGGAAATGTAGAACAAACATCAGAAATAAGATGAAATAAAGACAAATGAAAAAGTTATAATGATGACAATACATCTAAGAAATTTGAATACTATTTCATTTAATATGATTGGAGAAGAAAATACTTGTAAAATCAGTTATTCTTCCATTTAGAACCTGCAAGGTTATTATTTCTCTGATACTTTCAATCTCATTTCGAAAATCTCCGAAGCAAATTCACTTTATTATTCCATAATTTAGTTAGACTAATATCCTTATCTCTTGTTTTTTATTACATTGTATATGTCTTGAGACAAAACTTAGAAATATCTTACATTGCCTTTTTTGAATTAAGTTATTCAATTTGAAATCATATTTTCATTTTCAAAATATAAGTTGTAAACCTTATTTAATCCCTTTCTCCACAAGTTATTTCAGATTAATATCCTCATCTTCATTGTTCTTATCATAACATTTGAGCTGGTGCATTCTGTATTCTTTTTTATTGTCTGGAATTCTCACACTTGCATATGTTCTTCAGACCAGTATCCTTATTCTTGCTGTCTTTATCACTATATTTAAGTTACTGTATTGTTTGGGTTTCCTTAGGACTTATCTAGCTGGAATTTATTTTCTATTCTAGATAATTCTAGTCACAATTGTAATTGATTCTTACAGAGAAATCCAAACCTGATAAAAGGTGGTGTAAACAAGTCCAGTGAAGAATTCAGTACTGTGTAGGTCCTTAGAGGTTCAATCAAGTTAAAATATCTCTATTTGGAGCCTTTAATAGCTGAAAAATGATTTATGTCATTTTTAATACCTTCAGTATTAACATTTTCTTTTTTCGTGCATAGACAAAGAACAATGTAGATTTCTTGGGGATTAAACAACATTGATGGAAAGCTGTTGTGTAGAGAACAAAATGCAGATAAAGTGCAAGTTTCCAAAGGGGAGATGTTGACATTGTCTGACACTAAGTTGTTAATATAAAATGCTAGTCTATAAACACATTCAATTAATGCATATCTTTTATTTCACTTGTAAATAAAGAGCTCAGTGTATGATGATATGTTAAAATACAATCTTCTATTTTTTCATAGAAAATAGTTTATGCAACTCTTTGACTTCAATGAATCTTGGTGAGAAAAAGTATAATTTTAATGTTAAAAAAAAAATTCAAAATGTTGAAGAATTCTTTCCATCAACTCATTTGTTGCAAATGAATTTACGTAGAATATCAGGTCATAATTGATAACCAATCATCATTAAGGTGGCATTTTGAGTGATTCACTTTGGAGCTTAACAAGCTAGTTTTAAAGATCATAACCAGAGATTTTGATCCTCACTGAGTTCTTCCCTCCTTGTGCTAGACAAAGTAAATATCAATAATTAAAGTAACAACATTCATAATTTTTCCAGATAAGCTCACACGCACGAACACTTAGAATTCAAAAGATAAAAATGTTTGAAGATGATCATAACATCTTAATAATCTTTAAAAAAAAAAAAAAACTATGAAAAATTCTGTAAAAAACAAATTCAAAGGATTATGGATTTATTTATTTACAAAGCACAAATGCAATGATTTAAAAATTTCTTCCTTCAAGATTAATACTCTCGTCTTGAATGAACCACAACTTATGAAGTCAAATATAACATTACATTGGTGCTACAATTTGTACAGTGATTATAATCAACACAATGTTTGTGAAAAATATCACAAATGCCAGAAAACATGCTTCTTTTTGTTATTGATCTTCTCTGAATATTCATCTTTAATTGAATGTCAGATCCTAGCATAAATTCAGCATTGTCATTTGAAAAAAAAACTGTTAAAAATTCTGATTGCAAATTATATAAAGGTTAGTTCTCAGTGGCAATTCAGTTTGATTTCAAAATCAGACTATTTGTCAAAATAAAAAAAAATTACTATCCAAAGTTATTTATCTGATGTCCTTATTTTCTCCCACAAAAATAGAATACCACAAACAGCTGAAGAAGGTCAGCAGAGTACAGTGTCCAAAATAAACTGCTGACCAAAATCTTAGGGCCAATGAAAATAGAGAAATATATACCTTTTGCATTGTTAGACTCAACTTCTTATTTGAATAGAGCTTCAAAAAATAAAAATAGGAAAAATAAAAATTAAAATCTTTTACTTTTTTGGTACAAAATTGTAGATTTCCAAAACCTTATCTCATAACCAGTTTATACCAAAGAGGCTAAATTTGGTATCATTAGAAAGAGAAATCAATTTACTTTCATATAAAACCCACTTTTAAGACTTGATTTTCTGTGGTTTTTTAGATATCATTTGCACTAACATCACACGTTCAGATTTTTCAACAATTCAGTTAGGACTTCCATGATTTAACAATTGAAATCTCTTAAGAGCTGATAAGGTTAATACTCACCACATTTATTTTCTTTTGTACTGTATATCTATTTCTTCTATCAAAAAAGATATATGATTTTCAGCACTACCTGACCCAGGGATTAAACTCACAACTGTCAAGGAAGCGAATGTTTTAACCAATGCTTGAAACCGCTAGACAATCTAGTGTGGAAATTCTAGTGTTGTATGAATGCCCCAAAGTGGTGAATTTTTTTTTTTAATGTTCTTTCTTAATTAGATTCTTAATTGCCAGATCGTATTTGTCACTATGTTAGGTCTGCTGAGGAAGTTGTTAGTATCTAACAAGTATGCTGATTCTTTCAGTTGTCTTATCCCCTGTGTTGTTCTCTATTACAAAGGTTGATGATTATTCTTTTTTACCATATGTAATCAAGTTATGCCAGATTTCATATTCTCTACCAGAACGACATCTGATTAAGAAATGACACAACAAAAATTCCATCCAAGTCAGGACACTCATACAGTTCCACCACCTGAGTACAGATATTAGGTTTAAGGCTCTAGAATTTCAACACTAGATTCTCGATGACACATTACTTAGGTTTTAAACACTGCTTTAATCCACTATCAGTCTAATTTCTATTTCTGAGAGTGCTAAAAATTTATATACTCTTGTTCAGTGTAAGACAGATACCTGAAGAAAGCCATAGAGTACAACGGCCAAAACATGAGCATGATAACCAAGATAATCATGCCAATCCAAATAACAAAACATCATTTTTGTACATCAATTCAAACTAGTAACTTGGAAAATATCTTTTGAGTATTTGAGAAAAGGATAAAAAAACATTGGTTGTTTTTAATTTCTTCAAATACAAAAATATTTTTCAGGTTTACATTATTTTTTCCAGTTTATTAGTTAAGTGGTGAATATTATTAATATATAAAATAGAAATCTCTATCTGAAGTTTGTTTTTATTTTGTTTCTTTATTTTTTTCTAGATGGCTTCAGCTTTTCCAGTTGATGTTGGGGTTTGAATGATTGGAGGAAGTGGAGTTGAGCTACTATGGGAAATCATGGTGGTAGTAGGTTGTAAAATTTCTAGTAGATCAGTCGTGGGGATTGGAACTTTTCTGGTTATGGGTCGAAGTTCACCAGCACATTCAGTTAGCAATTGTGTTGTTGGACCCTGCTAAAATATACAAAAATAGTCAGTTTAAAAACAAAAGAAAACAACATTTCATAATTTTCATATCTTAAACCTTTTAGAAATATTTCAATCTTTTTATAGTCCAATAAAAATTTCAAATTTAATGCAGGTGATACATTTTTGTTGTTGTAAAAAGAAAATGTAAAAATAAAACAACAAATATTAGGAAATTATTTTAAATGAATCAAAATGCAACAGAATCTTTTATCTTTAAAAATGAAAGTTTTTTTATTTTTATTTTTTTTAACCCTGACAACACCTTCTCCCCCTCCTGAGCAACTATTCATCCTTTTCTCTATCCTCATTTTTCTACAAAAAGTTGACTACATTCTCCCTACTGGATGCTATCAGGTCATCCCATAAGTTCTGTCTGAATTTTGAATAAAGAAAACAAGTTACCAAATGTTACATTTAATTACAGATTCAATCAACAATGTATTTTCCCTGATTATCTATGACTTCCTTCCATCTATTAACAAGCTTACTAATGCCATTACTGTAAAATTCTTTTGGCTTTGATTCAAAGAACTCACAAATGTCAGTTTTAACCTCTTCCTGTGTTACAAAAGCTGTTTCTTCCAAATGATTCTGTAAGCTATGAAACAAATGGTAGTCTGAAGGAGCCAGATTGGGATTGGGTGGATGAGGAATTTTCTCCCAACCAAGTTCTTCGATCTTTTGTGACATGATTCTTGCTGTGTGAGGTCGAGCATTGTCCTGATGAAACATCACCTCTTTTCAATTCACTAAAGCAGGTCTTTTTTTCCTCAAAGCTTGGTTCAAATGCTCTAATTGCTGAGAGTATATTTGAGCATTAATTGTTGCATTAGGTGGTAAAAATTCAAAGTGGATTATTCCTTGGCAATCCCACCAGATTGAAAGAAGAACCTTTTGCCCATATACCACTCCTCTTACAATACATTGATCTTAGGGAGTGCTTGTATATGACCATTCAGAACCTGATTCATAGATATAAGAATGTTCATTAGTCTAATGTTGCCAACATCAAAGCACCATCAATACATCACATCTAACATGCATAAGAATTCTCTAAAATACTTATCTCTCTAAAGTACTCAATCTAACTGACTATCCAATGGCTCTAATTAAACAAAAATGTGTATCTCCATAGTCTAACATTTGTTTGTACTTGACTACACTGAACTTTATCACAGCATGCATCACTATCTAAAGCTTAAACCAAGATCATGCACTGGTATGTGTATTACTATATCACAAGATGGCTGAAAACTAAACATTTTATCCACTGGTATGTACATGATGTACCCAGGATAAAACTGGTATCAACTTTTAAGGAGTTGCAATTTTAACTTCTGTCAATGAATAAATAAAATGAGTGGTCCATTTATAAGGTTGTTTTTAATGTGGCTATTCAAAAAAAAGACTTGTGGCACATCAGTAAACCAGAAGACAGGAATGCTTTTACCTTTCTCCTAAAGCTCAAAGGGGAGATACTGTCCTGAAGATGAATTCCTGGTATTTTGGCATAATAAATATTGTTACCTTGTATCTCGTCTTTGGTAAATATATTTATGTATGAAATATTTTAATATAATTGTATTATATATGTAACTAGCAGCATGGCCTGGTGTTGCCCATGCTTGATTCAAAAATCATACAACTCATACAGCAATCGCTATCACTTGACATAAAATATTTTTGCCCTTCCTTGCCTTTAAAGGAGTGCCCTTTGCTGTGCTGATGTTGCTACATGCCTTACTTCTTGCCTATCTCACACTGCAAATTTTTTCTAAGTTCTATACTAAACATTAAATCTGTTACGAAAAAAGAACTAAACAAAATGAACACAAAATGATCAGCTTTAAAAAAGGACTCGTAACTGAAAAAAACCGAATGAAAAAAGAATGTTAATAACAAATACTTTTTCACACCCAACCCAGTTCTGCGGAATCAGAATCAACATTAGTTTAAGCAAGCTAATGAGCCAATTGGAGTAAAGTGCCATGCAGATTTAAATTTTTCCCATTTGTGACGAATGCAGCTATCGATTTTTTTTTTTTGCATGCTAGCATGCTAGTTAACATTCATGTCAGTCAGCTGTTGGCTCTCATGCTGGCCAATAGAATCTTCCTGCCTATTCGTAGCAGCCAGCTATAGGCTCTCACTCTGGCCAGTAGAAAATGGCCACAAACTACATAAAAACTGCCGAGGAAGCAAGAAAAAAATCGATTATTTCCACTATCAATGGGAGTTGGGAAATGCAAAGTCGGTCTTGGCCTTCCCACTAACTTGGAGCATGTGCATGTAAATTTTGGTGCAAATCTGTCGAAAATTGCAGCCGTGCATTCATTACACACACACACACACACACACATCCTGCCTTTTATAGAGATATAATTTAGTATATATATTGATATAATCTTAATTCCTGTTAGCCTGGTGTATCTCCACCAACTCACAATGAGTAATTTTAGCTCTGAAGATGTATCTTGGCAGAGTGGGTTGAAATTTTGGTCAAGTTGAATATACTTAGTCACAAAGTAAAAAAAAAAAAAAAAAAAATTGGTTATCATAAAATGATGGAAAATAATGTCAGTTTAAAAACACAAAATACACCTTATTCAATCAGAGTTACAGAAATTGAATTAATCTTCTAAGGGGCAAGAATAAAGAACTTGTTGTGATGAAGGAAAATGGAGTTGGTGTAGACAGAGAACAGTGATGTGGAGCCTTTGAGCAAAACTGGTCATTAAAGCTGGATTGAAAATTCTTCAGCTACTAACTTTGCCTTACAGTGTTGGGAATGCTTCTAGTGCTTATTAATTCATTTTAATTGCTTGAGGGTTAAAATTGAGAAGTTTATATTGGGAATCCTTAGAAGGATGGCTAGAGTTTAGGATTTCTGATTAATGATTTTTACATCTCAATCAATTACTTCTCATGCTCATGACTGGTCACTCCTACTTGGTGATTTCATTAGCTCAATTCTTTATTACCATTACTCAACATGGAAGTATTATGCCTCTTATGTCATCCAAACATCTACTCTTATTCAAGCAGAAAATCCCAACCAAAAACATTCCTGCCATTTAGTGTTTTCCAAAAACCTTTTTTTCTGCACAGGCAAGATTTGAATTTAATTATCAAAGTTTATTAGGCCGTCATATGGAACAAAGAAGACTTTGTCACAAAGGTAAAAAAAAAAAAAAGATGCTTGTAAACATTTTTAAATCTTAGTAAAGTAAAAATAAAAAAGACAAAAAAGTATAATCTGAGGGATTTAGAATTACTTTTCATTTTCCCAACCAAGAACTTTTCTCAGCAACTTCAGATCATATGATTTTCAGAGGAAAACTAGATAGGAGATCATAGTCAATCACTTACTAAAATTCTTCTTCCTCAGTCAGATTCAAAGATACCTTTAGCAAAAGTGCTATCACAATATTTTCAGATCTACCACTTCGTCCCCAGCCCCTCAGTCTCCAGCGTCTTCCTCTTTGGGTTGAGGTGTCCACTCGGTCCGAACCGAACTTAGGAGTAACTGGCCATACACTTCCTAAGTACCCGTAGATTATTTCAACCAGTCAACTGGTCAAGTCCTGCTTGCTGCCCACGCTGTGTTAGTTTTTAGATCCAGTAAGCGGGGTGTTGTCTATACGTTCACGGTCGACTGGGGATGTGGACACGGCTGTGAGAGTTGGTGCTAGGAAATTTAGAATGTGGCAAAATAAAACAAGAAATAATATCTGCAGAAGCCAGACAACAATGGGGGAAATATTGACGTCTTTTATATAAGAAGATAACATCAGAACAGCGGTTACAGGGAGAATAAAAACATTTAACATAAATGAGGAAAGAAAAAGAAAATGCATCCAGCGAATTCCCAACAGAGAGAAGGTTTGTGTGTGATAAATGCATATTGAATTGCCTGGGGTAGGTTTATGACTAATAAGTCCAGTCTCATATAGACTTCTCAGAACAAGGGTTAGTCTTCCGTCTCTCCTGTAGCACTGCAACCCGTAATGGTCGCCTGCGGGTGCTCACACACGTGACGACGATGTGCCAACTGATCGAGGTCTCTCCCGTCTGGCCTCTTCTGTCTCGCTCGACCATCTGCCTCTTCTTCAGCATAACTATGTGTTTATATAGATAAATCTGATTGATCATAAATCGACCCTTGGCCCAGCACGCAGTTACCACGAGTGACAAAAACTATCCCTTGACAAGTAATTCGATTCTCCAATTATTTACCTTATCTCAATCACGAGTTCTTCTCGCTTCACCAAAATTATACTTTGGGATATCTAAATATTGATTCAACCTTTTAATCAAAACAAATACAGTTAAACAAAACCAAGTATCTCACCCATCCCCATTGTTTACTCGTGACCCAGATTTAAAACATTGCCTCCTGCCCTGAGATCATATTTCTCATCGGTAAACACACATCTTAACCCGAATTGTACTTTGATATATAAACACCATTTCTACTTCCAGTCAATAAAAGTTATATTTGCATGTGTGCATTCATATGTGTGTGTGTGTGTGTGTATATACCTCTCTGTTACACAGAGAAATCAAAACAATCAGTTAGTTGTCACATTTACCCATGTTTGGCTTCTGCTGACCAATGTCCTAAGTTTATGAAAACCTGTGTTTCATTTTTTAATTTTGGGTTTTGCAAAAAAATTTTTTTTTTTCTTTCTTTTAATCTTAGCTCTGAATAAAAGACTTTATTTTTAATAAATGTATCTTTCAAAATATTTAATCAAGGTCCTGCTAAATCATAAAATTCAAATTTACTTAAATTTGCCTCCTAGGCTTTTTACATTAAACACACACAATGAATACAATGCTAATTATCTTCCTTGCACTGGCAACATTAAAAGTTACAGACATAATAGGCAAAAAATATATAAATACACTTAGCATATTTTATATACATATTTACTCTTAGATCTGGTGCCAGCATATTCATGGTAGGTCTTTTAACTGCTGCAGGTATTGCACAAAGTGAACTTGTTAGTCTAAATTTTAATCTCTTAATGGAATTGTGATAAGGGCAACACAGTCCATGTTCTTGAAATAATTCTTGTATAATTCGGGCAAGTCTCTACCATTGTAGAAAACTGTTGCCATAAAGGAGTGTATCTGATCTTCAAAGATGTTGAGGTACATGGTAGGCAACAAAGTTCTTTCTATATGAATGACAGAATTCAGTGTTTCCCAACAGAATACTGTCCAAGCCATTACCCTGCCCTCATTGGCTTGTTTTTTTACATGCTAATGGCATTGCTTCCCCAGGATAACAATGCACACATATCCTATTCTCTTTTAGTCAGGAGAAAGTAAGATTCATTGGACCAAGCAACCTATTTAAGATACTTTCAGTACTGAAAATTGGTTAACATTAGTAATATGACTGGCTTGCAGTTATGTAACTCCATATGCAAAAGACATCACTGTATTGTGTGTTATAGTACACAAATAGCTTAAATTTGATTAAAGCTATTTGGATTTTGTGCCACAGTAGCCCTTCTGTTGGCTCACACTTGGTGGGAAAGCTTCTGATTACTTCTTGTATTGATATGTGTTAGCCTTGTGGGTGGTTTTTCATTAATTGGGCCCTTGTCAATAAATTCTCATCCCAGCTGAATGGGATCATTCGATAAACTGTGCCATTTAGAAAATGCTCTGACAGTCTTCTAACCAGCCACAACAATTCAGCTTTTATTAATGTTAATCACATCTTTCTACTTGTCTATAACTGCAACAGTTAAAACATCAACATGAAATGCTTAAGATCAGTTTACCTGACCCTCATATTCACAGTTAATATAAAACAGTACCTTTCATTTGTGCTATATATCTCTAGTTACAATGTTTGGGCTCATCAGAGTGTGTAGGTGTATGTGGTGGGTACATAGCATGCTGAGTGACTAGAATGTCAGTATTTTAACCATGAGACCTGAGTTTGAATTTCACCAGAGCTGATTTGTCAAAGCAGTGACTATTTTATATCAGCTTGGGGAGATGTTACTAGCATCTGGCACTGTTGGGAAATGCTTGAACTTACAAGATTGACCTTCTAAGTGAAATTGGGTAGACAAAACTGTTTGGAAGCTGTTAATGATTGTGTTAGCAGAAAGCCACAAGTCATCATGACCGATGTTTTGAGTGTACTGGCCTTGTTCAAACTGTTGATCATGTTATATTATGTGTTCTTTTCCTCTAATACAAGCAAGTCTTAATCTAATGCAAATGTTATGGAAAAAAAAAACTAATGTAAAAATATTCTTAAGTCAAATAATCATTCATTTTACGCATTTAACTCATACAATTAAGACAACCATGAACTGTAAAGATAAATTTTACCAAAGTGGGCTTCTATACTTACTTTAATGGGGCCCATTTTCATTTGGTGTATATCTTTGACTGTTACACCCATAACTGGCTCAATGGCTTCAACCTGTTTTAGAGCATAAAAAATTCCTTGAAAGTAATACATACTTTATTTCAGAAGTCAGATCTTTACATACACCCACTCAAAATTCATAAACAATTATGATTTTGTCTATGCAAAAAGCCATTAAAAATCAGTTTCTGATTAAAAATAACATTCTGATTTCATTTTGTATATTTCAGAAAGAAAATCTCAATCATTAGCCAGAATTCAATTAAACATCATAAATATACTTGAAAATATCTTGTTTGTTTTTCCAATCCATGAAAAACAATAAGAAATCATACAGAAAAGTTACTAATTAAAGAGAAATTACTTTTATAGTATTTTACATTTCAATATTGATTGTTTATGCCACAGCTTATCCAAAATGTACACTTATAGTAGCCTCTCAATATTAGCTGACTGGCAATTCCTGTCAAAAATCAGCCTGATAATAAAAAAAGAGCTGGAATTTTTCAAGATTTTACTGGATCTCCAATCATACCTTAATCAATACACCCAGCAGATTTTTAATTCTAAGTAATTTTCTTTCATAACTTTTATTCTCAAATGGCTACCTATTCAATTTTGACATGCCACGATGTTGTTTATCACTAAAAGTAAGGAAACATTATGCAATATATTCGTTATATAGTAATGGTTATATTATTTAACATGTTTAATGTTTTACTACTTTACACGTTAAATGTCAAACAACACAACAAATTACATAACATTTTTTGTTAAATACATGACTTTATTTTATCCTCGAAAGACTTCTGTGACTAATATCTGCTTTAAGGCAATGCCATTTTGTCTTTAGGGGATCCTTACTGTTATATTCTTCGCCTCCACATATCAGTAAAATAAAAATAAAATAAAATCTTGACACTGATGGTGTTAACTAATACAAATTTAAACTGAAATTTATCTCCCTTAGATAACACTTGATGCCTCAAGTTCGGTCGGATATGACCTAAATGTTATATCTGGTCTTTGTAAGATATGAACTTGTGGGTATGTTAGTTGATTGCTTGAATTTGTGTATTTTGATGTTTGTGAGTTTTGTATGAGAAAATGAACTCACCATGGATTTAAGAGGGGGGACACCTAATTCTTCTGATTCAATGGCAAAAGGTTTTTTATGTGACCGTCCTGAAATAGGGAAAGCAAGAAAGAAAAATAATAAAATCACTTTACTGATGCAGTGTTGATAGGCTGTATTGTTTCAATTTTTAAAAATTCAATTTCACTGCAATTGTTCCATTATATTCTGTATAACCAAGTAATTAATGAATTATATGCTAAAAGAAAACCGTTAATAAAAAGGTTTTTTTTTTCAGTACACAAATTCATTTTTTAATTGTATTCAAATTTCGCTGTTGATGAAAAGGATCTTATTAAATTAAAACTGCAATATTTTACATCAATAAAGAGTTTTATTATTCATTTTTGACTTATCTTCCATTTTGTTTCTGTTTTTTTATCGCAATGATTGTTCTGCAATTGTTAAATAACATCAAGCATCTATAAAGTACAAGCCTGTAATTTGAACATATATTCTTTATCCTTGTCTTTCTGTAATAGTGTCATTACTGATTAAGGCCATGAAGTGGGCATGACTTAAATAGTTTTATTCAATTCCCTAGAAACTTAATTTTATTTATTTCCAATTGACAATGCATTTATCTAACAATTGTCAAGTAACAATCTGAATAATCAAATAAAAAGCAACTGAAATAAGATGAAAGAAATACTAATCAAAAATTAATCTCCACTTAATTTACAAATGAATAAAACTGGACTTGTTATTGATGAAAATTATTTCATCAAGATGAAAAGTAAGAACTTTTTAAAGCTGGTATTTTTACTCTCAAACATTTCAATAAAATAATACCTTCATTTGTATAATTTTCAATCTTAGTACACCAATCAATCAAAATTTTAAGGCTTTTAGTAAGGTTTCATTAAAATACTGTCTACCAATAGTAGATTAAAAATTAGTCTCTATGGCATAATCAACCAGCCTGTACATTTTTTTTGTTTACATTCATGCATTGCAGCACAAAAAAATGTTGATTAAAATTTAATTCCATTTCTTAATCATTTCTGTAAGTAGCCAACTTATTTTTAAATTTAAAAAATAAGTGAATAAAAAAAAAAAAACTAACCTTGGAATCTTAACTCTGTTTATATAAAAGAGAAAAGTAAAGAATACAAATCATTTGTATTGTAATATAATCAGCAACATGATTTAACCAGAAGCTCAGAGTGACATGATTGAGTGTTGTTATGACATAATCAAGGGTCACTTCAGTAACTTGGCTTCATGGAAGAAATTTTGACAACAAAATCAATCTTATCAGTAGCCTGACATAACTGAATGAAAACAGTATGTATAACTTTGTTCATGAAAACATATATAAAGCAACCAGTTAACCACAGCAGAGAGGATGGATGGATGGTAATGAGTAAAAACTTCCTGGTTTGCCAAAACAAAATGAATGCCTTCTTTGACTGAAGAAGTAATTTCAACTTTGTTTTCTCTCTCTGACCAACATTCTAAATAAAGTGAAAATTTTTAACCACAAGTCCAAGTTGTATTTTTCAACATCCCTACTGTTAGCTCTACATAGAAGCTAATTGCATTTTTAAATCAGCTGCAGGAGGCTTGGTACTCCTGGTTAAAAGTGGTTCAACCCTGCAGATGTATTTAAGCTCTGCCAATTTCTCCTTTTATAATGATTTTTGTATCAGGTGCCTGATGAAGTCTTAACACTTTAAACAAGAAATTGCTGTTTCTATTTCCTTCTTTTGGATTTTCTATCTGTTCTTAGGCTTATCACTAAGATCTCACTGTAAAATTAAGTAATCTCATTGATGCAGTATCAAACTGTTAGAGTATTTATGAAGTTTTCAAATAAATTAGGCTTTTTCATACAAATGCTGTCTCAGGAAAAGGGTTAATTTTATTATTTACAAAAAAAAAAAACTACATTCGACTAGGTATACAAAAAAGTGGGAAAAGAAGAATAGACTGACCAAAGGGGTGCCTTTGAAAATTTGACTGGGAAGTATTGCATGTTGATTTGTCTTTGTATCTGATTCTTTTTTTGTCCATTTTAACTGGACCAACATCACGTTCTGGTAATTGGTATTCAATTTTCACCCTTAAAAGGAGTAAAAAAGTAAAAAAATATTAACTACAGACAGATTTGAAAATAAACTTTTTTCAAAGTAACATTTTTATTTTTTTGTTTATTCCATTTTGATAAGATATTCATATTTCAAAAATAGGAAATAAGTGAACTGTTCTAAAGAAAAAAAGAAAAATTATCTTTTAATTTTAAAATTAAAAGATGATTTTTTTTACCTGTCTTTATATTTCATGTATAACTTGTAAATTTTTTCATTAATTTTATTTATCTATTCTACATGAAAAATAGAAAAAACAATTTTTCGCAAAAATTACAGAAAAAATTAAACGCCACAAAATAATTGTGTTTTTTTATTTTTTTAAAACACTTTCCTGAAACTACTAATTAGTGGAATACTTAAATTTCAGTGTATGGGTTTGTTACTCAGAGACACATGATTTTTTCCTAATGTTCAGAATGACTTAGAAGAGAATAATGAAGAACTTTGTGCTGCTGGAATCTCCTGGATAGTTTTGGATTAGAATAAGTGTTTATCAATTACAAACTTTGGGGCAAGATGCTGCATATTTAGGACCAACACCAAAAATGACAAGACCTACTTAGAAAATTTAAGAAAGCTCATTTCAGCTGATAGATTGGTACTAAAAGTGGTCTGTCACTAGAATGTATCAAAGAAATTAGGATTTTGTCAGTTATGAGTTTTCTATTTATCAAAATATTAATAAACTGAGCAGCAATTTAGAGTTGCAGCTGGACTTATTGCTTTGTGTATTTCTCAACTAATATATCAGTCTGGCCAATGGACAGTGTAATTTGTGGGAAGAGTGGAACTAATGGTTTCATTTAACCTGTCACCACACAAATGGAAACACATGAATGCTTTTACATGTTGAACTGATCCATCTAATGAAACCAGAATACATATTCTATAATTCTTTATAGAAGAGTTTGCAGAAAGTGATGAATTATTAAGATTTTTCACCAAATATTTATGAAGGTGAAAACTGATTACCTGTTTGTTATTGTAAAATCTATTTGATTTTTTCTTATTGCTACTATCTGCAAATATTACTAATTTTACTTTTATGACTTTTTCCATTTATTTTTTGTATCACCAGTTTGGTCTGATCAGGTCACAGTTTGCTTTCTTGCACGAGGACAATGCTACTATAGTTTTTAATGACTAATATCAACTAGCCTCTTCATCCTGAGTCCTCTCAACAGAAAGATTAAGGGACAGGGGTTTTGCTTATCATTTTACACTAATGTATTTTCTATTATAATCTGATTTAAGATTACATAATGAAAGACAGTTTAATCTGCTTTTTAATTGAATCAAGTCCAACAATATTCTAATTTTATGTATTCAGGCCAATTAATAACAGCCAGAAATATAATATTCTGGACTGACAATATATTCTGTTATTTTATTGAGTAATTTGACTTTTGATTATTTATATAAGGTTATACTAGTAATATCTGATGACAGTACAAAAGTAAATTTTTTCATATGTAAAATAATTGTTTATTCACATCTGGATACTGTCAAATTAATTTCTACCAATCAGAGGTATTTAGTTTTGGGTCATTTTTCTTGAGAGGATATGAGGGATTTTGGTTTTTCCTATTGCAGGTCAGGCATTAATATTAATTCCTGTTATTCAGTTGTCTTGTGTGTGTATATCCTAAGTTCAACTGGGTTCCCTTCTTGCACTCATTAACATCCTTCGAGGCCCAACTCTGCACTTGGTGGGTTTGAAGTTACCTTCTAGGTCAACTCTGAAGGCACCTAGGTCTTTTGATGTCCTAAGGTGACACCAAGTACAAAACTTACTTTGGTATCTCTTAAGGTGAACCAACTACATACTGGAGTCACAACAGATCAACTCTTCTTCTTAGATCAAAGATTCCTGATGGACATTAAATTCTATCCAAACCTCTGGTGTGAATCACATACAACATTTAGATGTTTGCCCCATTTTTTCTTTTCTTTTATGGGAGATACTTTGTCTTAGAAAACATTTAAATATTAAATGATAAAACCAAAAACATTGAGATGTGTAGACAGGACAGAGTCTTTTGAGTAGATTTGCTCTATCTGTACAAACCTATTTGATGGAAGTTTGTCAGGATTCAACTTGATTACACCAACAATATTTCCTTCATTATCATAAAAAACATCTTTAATGCCTGGAGGACGTCCATCACGAGTCTGAAATTAGAAACTATTAAAAATAGCCAAACAGAAAAAATCAAATGGAAAAAGAAAAACCAACCAATATATGACTTTTTTATTACAATACAGGGTGCGTCAATTTTTTTGTGCATCTTCTAATTTTTATTTCCTTCTTTTATGTTGTAAATAGAAAAGGTTGACACGCATATAGAAAATACAAAGTAGGTTATTTTGGAGAATAATATGGTACACGGTTGAGAACACAGACTAATGTAATAAATGTTAACTCCTCCCCCTCAGCAAGAGAGAGAGCTATTTAAATAGTCTTAGACCAGTCTATCTTGGGCAGTGGGGTTTGAACTACTCCACAACACCTCTTTTTGGATAAATAATGGCAGGCATCAAGTTGACTCATCAAATGAAAAGTTACACTGTAATTACTACCTTAAAAGTGCAACATAGTAATACAGAGTTAGGTCCATCTATTGTCCAGTTCACATTCTATCCATGTCTTTTGAACAGGAGCAGATGTTTATCCTTTGTTTTCTGTTTAGGATTAGGTTTCTGGTTCCTTCTAAAGTTTTTTTATTCTCTTTCACTCCCAGTATCTTAGTGGCATTATTACCTTGCTTGGTGTGAAATGATTAAAAAAAAAAAGTTCACTTCCTGAAAGTTGCTTGATCTTTTATTATCAGAGTTTGGAAGGAGATGGAAGCTGTTGATGGAATCCAATAGCAGCAGCTAAATGCTAAACACAAGCTAAGGGTCCTAAAACCACTAGAACATCTTTGTACAAAAGGTCAAGAAAATAATTGATAAGAGCAGTAGAAAGTCAATGAATCCAACAATCTTCCATCAAGACTCTGCATCATTTTATAAGGCTAAGGCAACCTAAGCATAGATGCGTGACAATCTTCATGATTAAGTTATAAATACCTGGCCTCTTAACTCACCAGACCTGAATCTACTGGACTACTAAGTATAGTGTGTAGTTGGGAGAGAGGATCAGTCAACAGCCCCCCCCCCCAAGACCATGAAATCTCTCAAGTCCACCATAACAAAGACTATGTCAAAAATTGATAATAATCATCTGATTTGGACATGTTGGCAATGCTGACCTTGTATCAAACAGCCATCAATGCTAATGGTGGACTCATTGAATAGGTGTGATAAAAGGATTTTCAAGATTATTTGTGCCAATTTGTTTTCAAATAAAATGTACCCTTCATAAGCTATGTGTCTTTATCTGAATTAATGCGAATGTCCTCAAAAACTGACACACCCTGTACTTACAAGTAAACCCCAAAAAGTAGTTTATATAAGATAAAATAATATTCAAAGCATCACGTGTCTTTTGCGTAATATTGTGCACAGCAGACGAAATAAAGGTGTAAAAAGTTACGCCCCTTTAACCACCGTTTTTTTTTTTGTAAATTGTGCTAAAAGTGTCTGAAAAATCTTTGCTATTCTTTCAATTAATAGGACGTTTATCTTCACATATAAAATATTTGTTCATTAATTTATCATTAGATCGACTGGCTTTCAATCAAGAATAGTTATAATTATTAGATTTCTTGTTTAAATTTTATTTTCATTCTTTCTTTATAATTTTTTTAAATAAAATCTTATTGATTATACAAATATGATATTCTTTGACTCTATTTTATATCATTTCTTTGGTTTTGAAATTCTAAAATTATTTTACAAATAAGTCAAGAACTGAAAAATAGTAAAATACTCAACGGTTGAGGTTGTAGAGAAAGAAAAAAAAATGCAGTGTGTCTAATAAATAAATTAATTCATTTTCACCCACATCCCAAGATTTACACGCATGACTTAAAAACAACAAAATTCAAAGATGGAATTAAGAAATAATAAAACTCAAAGAGAAATTCCATGATACATTTTTAAAATTTAAGAATAAAATACAAATTCATATATTCTAACAATACAAGAAAAACAATGCATTTCATAAATAATGGATTTGATTACAAATTTGAAAATCTATAATCTTAATGAAAACTGCAAGTGTTAATTTTAAAAACAAAATTCATTTAGAAAGATATTTGTTTCTTACCTTTACTATCCTTATCAGTTAAACTAATACTTTAATCATTATATTTTGTTATACACATACAACATAGCTGTGGCTAAATATGTATTTATGGAAACTTCAATATTGGGTTTTATTCTTATTTATTGCTTGTGAATCATGTCTAGAAAGGTTTTCTATTCTATTAGAAACATTGACAATAATGGCCGAATAAGGGTCTACACATACTAGGTACCTTCACCAAAAAAAAGGCGATATATTAGGTTTAAAATACATTTTAAAAATGCAAAATCTTTCTTAAAGTTTTTATTTTAGTTTTAAGTTAAAGCTAATAGATTAAACTGAATATTTCCAATAAGCAAAATAGTTTGGTGTATTTCAAACTGAATTTAAATTGATTGGAATGATATTTTTTTATTATCAGTAAAAACATTAAAATCGTCCCTATTGACCAATCCATTATTTTTTGATGTCACTTATGGACATCTATATTTACAAAAATCGCTATGTTTATAAGCACATAAAAAAAATTCAAAATTCTTTTTAAAATATTGGGGGTGGTGGGGTCATTAAATTGTAATGAACTTTTCCATTTATGATTAGTTAATACAGTTTTAATTTAATAACAATATCACTTAACCATTACAAATTAATAAAGAATTTTTAAATGTTTAAAGTTTTATAAATTATTCTAATTAAAATTTTTAAAAAAATCTATTCTTGTAAAAATTTATTATTCATCGAAAAAATTTTATTAAGACAATAATATTCATAAAATTACTTAAAAGCTTTTTCTAATTAAACAATGTCTTAGTTTAATTGCATTTTTTATTTTACAATTCAGAGCAGATTTTCTATAACTGGGGGTCTTGTTTGGCTAAAAAAATTTGATGTAAATTCTCTGAGGAATTTTCCTTATAACAAATACAAACATTAAGTGCTACAAAAAAGATTATTTTTTTTAAATTGGTATCACCCCAAGCAAGACAGTACAGCCACTAGTTAGTTAAGGGATTACAGGACGTGGGAGAATTAGGAACAGAAACATTAGTAATGAAGAGAAAGAGAAAAAAGCAATCAGGACAGTAGATAGCAATTGACATTGCATTTAAATTTTTGCAGATTAAAGTTGGCTGGAAGGAAGTTCCACAAGTGAGAAGTGTGAGACAAGAAACTGTTGGCATAGAAGTTATGGCTATATCTTGCTAGATCAACTGTAAATTGATGAGATCTTGCCACCAGTCTAATATTGTGCTTAAATTCATACAGTCCAGGTACCATAGCAAAGAACTCATCCAAACAATTACCATGAAATTATTTATGAAAAAGCACAGAGAAGCAACCTTATGGCAATGTGCAAGTGACTGAAGCCGAGCTGCCAGACTGGGACCAATAATATTACTGATTCTTCCTTAGATCTTATCAAGGAGCTCCAGATAAATAGCAGGGGTAACACACCATATATGGCAGCAATATTCTAAGCATGGATGAATGGTAGCAATATTCTAAGCATGAATGATATGCAAGAGAGTTTCCGCAGAGAAAAATTATCTCGACTGACACAGTGAACCAAAATTCTTAGCAGGTGAGCTAGCGATGGATTCAGTGTTGTCTTTCCATCTCATGTCAACTGAGAATGTTAGTCTGAGAAGGTGCAGTAAATCACTTCCTTGGAGGATAGCATCAGCCATGCTGATGGGAGGCAGAGAGGAGTCTCTCAGATGAATAACAGAGAGCAGTTTATCTTTGGAGGCATTAAAATTGACAAGCCACCTTTTTTCCTAGTTATGACAGTCTTGAAGTTGTTTTGTACATCAGCTGCCATTTTGGCCTTGTCTGACTGATTAGCCTTACTATTATTGAGGCAGGAATAAATGGTAGTGTCATCAGTAATGAATGAATTAATGAGACACAAGATGAAGAATGTTCAAGCAATGAGTGCTGGAAAGCAACTGAGCATCTCTGAAGTAGAGAGGAAGTACAGTAAGGTATGCTTAATCATCACTTCATTTATATGAACTTTTTCTACATTATTTAACAATGTTATGATTCTTATCTATAACAAAAATCAGAGGTTTAACCTTTTGTAAATTGTGCTGGTTCAGCTTTGCTCCATGCTGTGGTGCATTATCCAACTCTTGAAGAGCTTCTTCCATTTTGCGTTGTTCTTCCCTTTCAGCCTGACTTAGAGTCTCTGACATTCGACTCACACTGGCTTTTTGTAGTAATTCATAATGACTAATTTGCCTGGCTTTTGCTCTTTTGCCATGTTCAGTCTTGGTTGTTTTTTTCAGTTTTCTTTCTCTCTCCTGCAAAAAACAAAGTGATTCAACCTTTTCAAAAATTCTGAAGGTATAATTGACTAGAGAGGAAAGGTTTAATGAAAACAACATGAAGGTGCATGAAAAAAATCTCAACTGAATGGGACAATTGAGAAGAAATTAAAAAATAATCAACTATAGAAAAAAATGGGGACCATACAAAAATGCATTGCTATTGTTTGTTTGGTAGTTAAGATATTTGTATATTTCATTTTTAATACCAATTATTAGAGTTAGAACCTAATCAAAATCAAGGATATTGAATGCTGATTTTCAAGTCAAGCATTCTGTCCTCATTTAGCAGATCAGTTCTACACAATCTTCCTAACTCTAAATTTCCTTCTATTTGGCTCTGAGCTATATTAAGCTTAATAAATATGAGAAAACATGTCAAATATTAGCAATATTAGTTGTTAAAATTTATGTTTTCTTGTCTTGTTATTAAACCTTCATTTTGGACTGAAAACACTTCAAATTTGATATTGGTTGGTTGGTTGGTTATGTTTAGTTGTTCAAGGGAAAGATTTTGATTGCTCTACTGAAATTTGCCAACAGATTTTTTCCCCATCTCCTTACACCATTACAGAAATTGTTCCATGTAAATTTGCTATTTTCATTCCAGTTTAATTTTGTAAGATTTGGTTCTCACTATGGTAATGTCATTTATTTATGTGTAGTTGGTGTGAGAGATTTATTATTCATTCTTTCACAAAAAGTTTTTAAAAATAAGATATTTACCTTGCTGATTTTTGAATCTGTAACATCTGAACCAAGAAGGAAGCAGATTTCTTGGGACAAAAGTGGCTCTTCAACTGGTTGACAAACTGGAGAAACATGGGGGATAATTGTGTCATGTTGTGATTTGTCAAGAGAAGATACACTGCAAGAAAACAAGAAAAGACCACATTTCTATTTTTGGTTAAGTGAAATAATTCAATAACAAATAACAGACTCTGCAAGAAGAAGGCCACACTTGTATTACAATAATCAAAATTATTCAATAAGTCAAGAGGATTTTTGTATGCAAAAAGAAGGCCAGACTTGTATTTGATGAATCACTGATTCAATCATCTCAACTGATAAAAGGATTTATTGGGAGAAGAGGGAACATCAAATCTCTTATTCCAAGCAGATTTGTGCCAGAGTGAAATTTACAGAGAAACAAATATCTATTACAATGACAAAAATATTTTTCACAATATATAAATTGTACAAATTACAATATAGGGCTTGCACAAAATTTCCCTTGTGCACCTCAAATTATCAAGGCAGATTAACAGTTATTTCAAACACAAATCAGTTTTCTATTAGAGTATTACAGTTCATGTAAAGCAAATTAACAACAAAATGATTCTAACAACTTCCTTTTAGGGCAACAGTTTACATAAATCTATTTTGCAGCAACAAAAGAAAATTTAATTTGAAAAGTTCATAATTCAAAATGTTGCAGGTTGAAATTTGAAGGTGAAAGTTGAAGTTCAAAGCAAGGGTGAGAAAAGGTTGACCTTCCTCAGTGAAGTTGCTTTTCTGGGTCCTTTTGATGAATATTCAGATTTTTAGGACAAGTATCCTCAAATTTGAGATAAACTCTCATAAGTCTATGAAATTATGATGAGAATCTTGAAGATTCTTCTATCTTCTTTATCAGTAACTGTAGTAGTCTTTTATTATTTCAGGTCACTGCTTGGTCTATTCCTTTTCTCATCAACAGTAGACTTTACATGCTGAGACAGTTAAACCTGCCTGCTTCATGACAACCTTTCACCCAAGTGGTCTAATTCCTTCTTAGGAACTTCCTGCCTTTGCAGTCAAACTTTTTCTTCTTATATAACAAAGATGTGGATCAAAACCAATTTTTAAACCAATTCCTTAGGAGGCCCTATTCATTTTATTTTTGCCACAGAAAGTTTAAACTATCTGGCTTCATTTTAGTGGATTTTTATAACATCAATTTAGAACATTTTTTAACATCAATTTCCATTCATCTTTTCTTTTTATATGAAACATTTGGCTTTATTTTGATGGTTTCTTTCTCAAAGAAACCGGGTTAGTAACATTCTAATTTTCTTAATTAGTTTTTAATACAATTCATTGTTAACTTTTATTAAAATAGTTTCTATACTCATTTTTACACAATTCCAATATTTTAATTATTTTTCTCATACAATTTTAATATTGTTTCTATTAAAAATAATTTTTATACTGATTCTCTTTGGTCATTGATACAAAAGACAAAACAAAATTGCATAATCATTTTACCAATGTATCTCAAAACTGAAACACATCTTAAAATTTGATATATCATTGGTATTTTTATACCAGTCAAAAAATAAAATCTATGGAATTTTATCTTATAGAACTTCTACTATTCAGAAATCATAGTAAATATGAAAGAAGTTCAAATAAAAGATAGCAGCAAAAGAATAACGTAAAAAAAACTCTACTTTATCAAAATGGTTCTTGTGGCCAAATTGGAATTCAATTCATAGTAAGTTTCTGTAGCATAGCCTAAAAGTTTAAATCTCACCAGAAATTGATTGTTTGTTCTGAATTCCTATGATTTAATTTGAATCCTAAAGAGTAAATCATTTAAAATGTGATAAAACAAAAAGATCAAAATATTTGTTATAATGAAAATACATCACTCATAATCTCAAATAATTTTTTAATCATTTCAACCCAAGCAAGGCAATAAAGCCACTAAAATAATACAAGAGGTTACTGAGTGTGAAAGAATATGATAATAAATAACGTTATTAAGGAAAGAGAACAGGAATTAAGGAAGACAAAACATAATGATTAACATTGGTTTTAAGTTTTTGAAGATCAAATTTGATTGAAAAGCTGGGAGAAAGTTCCACAAGCAAAAAGTTCAAGAAAAGAAACTATTAGCATAGAATTTATGGTTACATCTAGTCATTTCAACCATAAAATGGTGAGACCTTGTTTCCAATTTAGCACTGCACTTAAATTTCAAGATATAAATGAAGAAAGATCATCTGAACAATTACCATAGACGGAGTTATATGTATATCACACAGTAGAGACCTAAGTAGAACTAAGTGGAAAATCAGGAAAAGATACAGATGTATCAATAGTATGACTGGGAGTGAATTTATGTGCAAAACATTCTGTTTTATCAGCAAAAGATAACACCTCAAATTGAGTGAAGAGAGCAGGAATAGAGCTGCCAGTAGTCATGAGAACCAAACTTGTTAGACACTTTCTGAACAGACTTTGTACCCTGTGACCTTCAAAAGAATAATATTAGAGAACAAATAAGGAAATATCAATAAATGATATGTATGATACTTGGCAAAATGTAAGTTCTCAACATAAATCCTAACAAAGTCCAAATTCCTTTATATGACACAGACTTACCAGACTTTTAAAGTAAGTGTGTGTTTGTGATGTTACATCCTAAAACATTTTGTTTAGCATTTTGATATGATTTCTCTCTATGTAAATCTTAAACTGAATCCTGATTTCCTGACACACTCTATTGACAGACAATTTTTATGGAACTCTTGGAAATAGTCAATCATGTTAATTTTTAAAATCTGTCTACTTGTCATTTCCTACTTTGATCTTATATATGAGATGAATCAACAGAAAATTGTAACCAGATGCAAATGTGAATAATCATCATTGTTGCATTATAACTGGTGTCCTTTAACTAGTTTACATATTGTATCATCTTATCACTGTATATTGATTGCTATATTTCCATCTTTTTATTCTTCCTTACAAATGACTTGGATTCCTTTTGTCTTTAAATCTTTCATTTACCTTAAAGTTGTGTTGATGCATAATTCTTTTTCTTCATCTACTTTTGTCAATGATTGCTCTTCCACAATTTCCTCTTCTGATTTTTCATCAGGGGAGATAAAATATCCAGGGGCCCAATTATCAATCACTGGTCGAGTTGGTTCTGAAAAAATACAAACATTAGCAAACTTGACAAAAGGAAAGGAGATTACATTTATTTATTTATGTTTGTCATTCTACAATATGCCAACCCAACTTTGCATTGGATTTAAACATTGTGATAAACATGGCAACAAAGATGAGGACAATAGTCCAAATAATGTAAATAGTGGATTTAAATATGATGAACAATTTCCAAGTAGAGTCATTCTGAAAGTTGGGATTACAGAAATCATTGAACAAAAAAAAAAGCACAAATTCTAAATATTCATGAAAGTTATTATTCAGATCCCAGTTATTATTCATGGCTTATGACTCAAATTTTGTAGGTAACTTTTTTTAATATATGTGCAAATATTTTTCATTGTGAAATTTAACCAATGCAGAAAATTCTGATACAAATTTTAACTGAAAGCAACACAAATATTTGTGACATGTACAATGTTATAAACAAAATTCAGTACCTATATAAGGTAGATTGATATGAACAGGCTTAGATAACTTACCTCAATGGAAATAACTTTCTAAGTGCTAAACACCATGGATTTCACTCTTCTATGTTCACTGCTGATTTCTTTACACTTAGAATCAGTGAAACACTCAACAATAAATTTGCCACAAAAACAATCACTTTAGATATCTCAAAGGCTTTTCACAAGGTGTGGTTACTACACAAACTCTCCTTCATTCCACCTTAACAGATAAGACCCACACATGCCATGTACACATGGTTGAAACATCTACATTTCTTAGGTATTTCCTTGGTAATTCAAACAGTTCCTACCCAAGAAGCACTTACTTTATGGAATAGACTTTCCTGACTACTTCAGTGTTAACCCCTTCAAGTCATAGGTCAACCATTATCTACTTTTAATAACCTCATTCAGTAACCATCAACATTGAGTGACTCTTGTGCCTTGTATTGGGAGAGCAGCAGTAAAAACAAAAAAAGAAACAAAAACAGTGTATGTTGGATAAATTGCTGTCTAAATTTCACAAAAATGAAAATAACACAGACATCTCATTTTAACAGATAAAATTTATTCAAGAAAAATTGCCAATAGATTCAACCATGGCCTTCAAATGACTTAGGAATCTCCTGCAACTCTTCTGGACAGTTCCCTTATTTAAATTGGTGAATGCTACCATAATCCTGGCCTTCAGTTCATGTTTGGTGTTATAAGGAGTTTTGTTGGACTCTCACTCAACTGTGCCCCACACATAATAATCAAGGAGTTTGCAGTCTGCAGAGTTAGATGGCCAGATGTAAGAGGAGATGTGGTCGCAAAAATTGTCTGACAGCCATGACTGGGTTCTTCTGCTTGTGTGGCATGGTACAGGTCCTGATGCCAGACATAGGGTCTTCCAGCAGCCACCCTCCTTACCCAGAGCAATACTACCTCCTTAAGGCCTTGATGTTAGGTCTCCATGTTGAGTCTAAGGCCCTGTGGGAAGATGGATGGAGGCATAACATTGCCATCACTAGTGATCACTTCAAACACCTTCGTAATCACCATTAGACTCATCCAGCTCTTTCCAAATCTTCTGCACTATTCTCAGATTGACACACACTCTGAAATTTCAGGTGTGAATTCTGGTAGAGTGAATTGCAACATTGTATTCTTTTTCTCACAGATGGTGCCCAACTGACCCTACTATACTGTGCAGTCAACAAAATCAAAAACAAACAATGTGTATGCACAAAATTAAAAATATAAAATGACGACAATTTAACCATCGCACCCTGTAGATAGATAATGAACAAACTGAGATTAAAAGAAAGATAGAAAATGTTCTAATCTTTATTATTTTTAATTATCAGCTAAGTAAAACTGAAGCTGTTTTTAGCTTGTACTGATTTACACATAAAATGAAAAAGAGAATCCTGAGAATTCATAACTGAAATTTGAAACTGCACAGTAACACAGTAACCATCAAAAAATCTAAAAACTGACAAAATAATCTTAACCAATCCCTACAAAAATATATATGTAATTTAATATCAGTCTGTAATAAATGAAATACTTTCACAAATTATGTGTTAGTGTGACTTAGGTCTGAACTCTCAAAAATTGTTTTGAACAAAAAATAAACTAATAAAATGGCAGAATTAATAAATTTTGTCTCTTACTTCTGAAACTGACAATAATGGGATTTTTTTTTTTGAGTAGGGGGATGAGTGGATTTGAAGTGTGTGTGTGTGTGTGTGTGTGTGTGTGTGTGTGTGTGTGTGTAAAGAGTGTTTACTAGAAACTTGTACAGTATTACAACACTTACTTTCACTTCCTTATTAACAACTGTAATGTTTTATCAAATATTAATATTAAGTGGTGTTTGAGATGTAGCAGACAAATTTAAAAAGAAAAGCTGTAATTTATTCTCCCTAACCTTTCCAATTGTTAACCTTTTGAACCCTGACCTCCTAATTTTCTCTAATCTTACTTTCCTGGCTTTCCAAGCTCATAAATATTATTATCTCTATTATCACATGATTTGAAGTCCTTCTCAAGGTAATTACACTCATATTCAACCTCTTTATGCATCAAACAAATCCAACTGAACACTCACTGCAGCTTTGATCTTTTCAGCCCAAAACCATTAACGTGGACATTTGTTCATTTCATAATTTACATTTCACACAAACATGCTTTAAAATAAACACTGAGTGCTGCTATTTGCCTTTACTACATAATCCTCAAACTGATCTAGGGATAAAAGCAGCCTAGTATGTCACTTGTATACTGAGTCATAAGTCAGAGATAATAGGACCTTAGACTCAAAACTTACTATTATTATACCCAACATATATTTGTGGTTAACTAACCACAAATAGCTGACATTCTTTGTTTTAAATAAACAACCAGTAAACAAATTTTGAAAGCCAAAATTAAAAATAGTAAAAGAACTTAAGAGGACAAAAGACATGCTCATCAGCAGGATGCATAAAATCCAAAAACAGGACACTGATATTAGAGAAAGAAGAAATACTTCAGAGATGGAACAAATACATTGGAGAACTCTTCCATGACAAAAGAGAACAACTGACAATACACAGAAATAACAACGGACAAGAAATATTGAAATCTGAAGTGAAATCAACAATGGTCAAATTGGACAGAAACAAAGCCACAGGATCAGATGGAATCATAATAGAGATGCTAGCAGTGTTAGATGATTTTGGCAATGACAAGATTACAGACATAATAAATGAAATATACAACAGTAGCAATATACCAGAAGACTTAAGTAGATCTATATTCATAGTACTGCCAAAGAAGCCAGGTGCAAATGAATGTGAATGCCATCAGACAATTAGCCTATTGAACCATGTAAGAAAACTTATCGTCCAAATCTTGATGTATAGGGTGTGCAGAATCATCAAATAGGACAAGAACAGTGCAGGATTGTTAAAGGCACTGGAATAAAGAATGTAATATTTATGCTTAGAATTATATCAGAAAGAGCAATACAAATGCAAAAAGATGTATACCTATATTTAATAGATTATTCAAAAGCATTAGATGAAGTATATCACAAAGAACTATTGGAACTGCTAGGTAACCTCGACATATGTGGGAAGGATATTAGAATAATCCAGAATCTATACTAGCATCAAATCATCTGCATACAGATAGGAAATGAGTTCAGTAAATATATAAAAATAAAAAGGGGTGTAAGACATGGATGTGTCTGTTCACCAAACCTTTTCAACCTGAGAGAATTAGAAGTTCTTTCTAGGATTTATTATTGGTGACCACAAGCACAACAGCATAAGATATACAAATGACACAATGTTGATAGCAAACTACAAGAACTCCTACAGAATCTAGTGATGGAAAGAAAGAAGAAAGGATTAAACATCAATTGCAAGAAGACTGAATGCATGGTTGTTATAAAGGGAACAACCTAACACGCAAATTACAGATTGGAGATACCAAAATCAAACAGGTGCAACAATTTAGATATCTGGGAAGCATTTTAACAAAAAGTGCAACACAAAAATCCAAAGGTACACTGTGATAGCGAAAGATGCCTTCTAAAAGCTAAGTAAAATATTAAGAAACAGAAAAATATTGTTAGAAACTAAGAAAAGTTTACTAAACTGTTATGTACTATCAGTCCTCCTATATGACAGTGAATTCTGGACAATCTCCTCATTGATGAAGAAGAGACTTGAAATGTAGTTCCACAGAAGGATGCTGAGAAATACCACAGACTGAAAATGTGAGCAACAACAAAGTTCTAGAGACAATGGCAACAAAAAGGATATTTATACTTTACATCAGGAAAAGAAAGTTAAAATTAGGTGGGGGGCACACAATGAGGAAAGAGGACTTGGAAAATTTTATACTCACAAGACAGATTGAAGATAAGGGACAGATGAAAGTAACGCACAACCTACCTGGTGAATGGATGGTAGAGCAGGGTTTGGGAGAGATGGCAAATAAACAAAATTTATTAAGAGCTACAAAGGACAGGAAATTGTGGAAAGCGATGATCATCCTTATGGGACACAGATATAAGTAGAAGAGACTCAGACTATAATCGTCTTTTCTTTCTGTATAGACAGATAAATCATGAAAATAATCTTCTCTCCAATTCACCTACAGCAATGTGAAGAGGAACCCTCTTCTCAGAGTAAAAAAATGTTTGTGATGGTATTATTTGATAAGAAATACGTGATCAAAAGGTAAAAAGTAATACATTTCTCTTACTCATTAAACATGACCTTTTGAATGTCTTTACCTTACATTATTCAACCACTTAACCTTTAAAAAAAAAAAAAAAAGGAAAATTTTCTTAAAATTATTAAATTGGAATCAGATTTGCCACACTGGTGATGTTCCAAGAACTTAACAGAGGACCTAGAAAATTCAACACTATTATTAATATTTTTTGAGTTAAGGGAGATAAATACATCAACTCCTTTTTATATTCACTATTGTAATTAATAATTAAAGAATTATTATTGAATTATCATTCATTTGAAAGCATTTTAAATGA